CTGAATGACTGACTGACTGACTCACTGAATGACTGACTGACTGACTCACTGAATGACTGACTGACTGAATGACTGACTGACTGACTCACTGAATGACTCACTGACTGACTCACTGAATGACTGACTGACTGACTCACTCATTCACTGACTGACTGACTGACTGACTGACTGACTGACTGACTCACTGACTCACTGACTGACTCACTGAATGACTGACTGACTGACTCACTCATTCACTGACTGACTGACTGACTCACTGACTCACTGTCTCACTGACTGACTCACTGACTCTGCTCTGTAATGTGTTCTGCTGAGGTTAGCTTCTGCTGGTGCCTGTGTGGGGAGGTAGAACCCATTTTACACCAGATTACACAGAGACGACTGCTGCAGCTCAGCATGGCTTCACTCATCCCCGGTGACACCCTTGTTTTATTGGTCTGAGGTTTTTTTTACCTCCTGAAAACTTCACTCCCTCCGTCAGGAAAAATGAACAAGAATTCTGTGAAAACATCAAATTATCACCTTCAACTGAACTAACCTGGAGTTTCTATGAATGGATCTCTTCCAAACACATTTTAATGCTCTCAGCTCAAAGGATTATTGGTTGTAGACCTGTCATGATAAATAATGCTGGACGATATATTGTCTTAGTAATTATCATGATAAACAATAAAATTGTTTGGAGACCATTACGAAGCTTACTGAAGTTTATAAAATTTCCATATGTAAAAAAATTAAAAGTTATGAACTGACCTGGACCGGAGAATGTGAAAACAACACAACATTATTTGGTAGCAGACCTGCCACGATAACAAATATTGCAGGAGGATAAATTGTCTTAGTAATCACGATAAATGATAATATTGTTTGGAGACCATTTTAAACTAACATAACGTGCACTATTGAAGTTTTTAAACTTAAAAAATGTAAGAACTGGAACTTGGACAGAGTTTGTGAAAACAACACACAACAGTTGGTARCAGGCCTGTCACAATGACAAATATTGCTGGACGATAAATTGCCTCAAAAATTATCGCGATAAACGATAATATTGTTTGGCGATTATTTCAAACTTATATAATGACGTGCACGGTTATTAAACTTACTAAAGTTCATGAAATTTCTGTACGTAAAAAAATTGTTACAAACTGACTTAGACTGGAGTTTGAGAAAACAAAACACAGCTGAAGCTGTAACATTGCTACCCACCTCTATCCAAACTGGTTTATTTATTTATCTATGTGCTTCATGAAATAATGGCAGTCAGGTTTACGAAATCTATGTAATAAACAAAAAACAGCAAGAAGAACCCCAGGTTCTGCACAGCATCCTGAGGCGTCAGGAAACCGAAGACGCTCCTGAAGCTAAACACCTGTTCAGAGGTTAGAGACCATGAGCCTGGAAAACACCTGAGTTCACTCCTTCCTACGCCAAGGAGGAGAAAAGAGGGAGACACAAAGAAAACAAGCAGATAAATGAAAATTATTGACCTCATTTTAATTTATGGTGCAATTTATTAATTTATTTCTTATCGCGACAGGTCTAGTTGGTTGCCAAGTTGTTATAAACAGAGATTTTTTTAAAGTCTATTTTACTCACACAAAGTAACATTTTCCTTTTTATTTGATCCCGGTGTGCAACGACAAACCAGCTGCTGTAACTCCTCAYGTTTCTCCTCCCTGACATGAACTTCTGAACGTTTCAGGACTCTTGGCCTGTTGGTCAAGCGTCTGGAGCGGGGCGGGAAGGCCGAGCAGCAGGGCCTGTTCCAGGAGAACGACTGCATCGTCCGTATCAATAACGGAGACCTGCGAAACATCCGATTCGAACAGTAAGACGGCTCCCTGAAGAAGAGCTCGAACTTCCTGTGTGATTGCTTTTCTGGGCCTTCCTTATCCACAATCCAGACTTTGTCACTGTTATACCTTCTCTTTGTCCCTCCTCCTCCTCTGACGCCTGTCACTGTGAGAAACTAACCTCTCCCTGCTCACCTCCTGCAGGTCACAGCCTCAGCGGCTGATTCAGTCCCTCAGTCGCCTCACCTTTTGTCCGTCTGTGTTTCAGCTCAGCTGGACTCCTCCTCGCAGAACCTTTTTCCTTCCTTCTTGTAAAAAAGCTCCTAACATTTACCGCTTCTGCTTTTCAGTGGTGTTTCTGACTCTGGCTCCTAATTCCTGTCTAACACACGTTGTTCATTGTTCCACCTTTACCTCTGTGTGCCACGCACTTGTGATTGGATTTCCTTCCTTTGCCGTTATTCATGCTAACTTTAGTTTATTGTTAAAACAATGACGGTTGTTTTGCACAGAGTTTGTGAAGCCAAAGGTGAAAATGGAAGCCTGGTCTTTGGTTGGACTTTTTAAACAAAAGTCAACAATGGAACTGGACATTCTCCATGCAAACAAATAAGTTTAGTAGAGGAGGAACTCATTTCATAGAGTAAAATGTCTGTTTTTTGTTGGTAAATTGTTGCAAATCTGAGTAGCTCTAAAGGAAAATGAAGATTGTCCAAATKACATTTAGTAAATTGTTGTTTTAGGTGACAACTACGCAAAATACCACCCTTTTATAGCTTATATGCATAAAATATGAGGATTTAACCTAAATTATTCACTAATTTTACTAAAACATTTTGAATTAAAGGCTTTTATTTGTCACTCTTTTGTGCTTCAACCTTCCTGTCAGGAAATTTTTTTTTTCAAGTTGAAATTAAGTTACGCAACAATTAGTTTGTTTTTTATCCAACAAAATCATCAACAGAACAGCTGTTCTCATTGTGCAACAGTATTTTATACAGTATCTCTACACACAAGCTGTTATTATCAGTCACTGGGAAAAAAGAGATGAAAAAGTTTTAGTGAATTGATAACAAGAAAAACATAAAAAGTTAACCGTTCAGCTGTTGGGGGTCGGTGCAAAGAGCCGCAGCAGACCTGCTTTACGGGAACAGGTGGCGCTAATAAGACCCCACTTTACAGCGTGCTGACAGCGGACAGAAGTTTCCGCTCACACTGACTGTCCATGAGCTCATTCTGAGCTTTAAAGCAGGATTTTCTCCTTCATCTGCAGCCAAGTGAGGGGATAATGTGACGGAGCTGCTGGGGAGGGTTTGGTTTCCTTTTAGAGCTTCTCCCGTCGCCACAAAGTGTTAATTACCATGTCAGGTTGTTCAGGTGGGCGAAGACGGACATCTGGTAGGTGGACTGATCCACTTTGGAGCGGAGCGCAGACAGTTATAATTCTGCAGCGTGTGATTATGGTTTGATAAGTGAGCGAGGCTGTAATCAGTCCCAAAATTAAACCATCTTCCGTTTTCTGTTTGTGTCTCAGAGCTCAGAACATGTTCCGGCAGGCCATGCGCTCCCCCGTCATCACGTTCCACGTGGTGCCGTCCTCCATGAAGGCCCACTACGAGCAGCTGTCCCACCCCGAGAGGAACCCCTCCTTCTCCTCGGGACGCTTCAGCCCCGACTCTCTGACAGGCGTGGACCCCAGCCTGCAGAGGACGTCCCGCCACGGTTCCCAGACGCACCACCCTCACCCGGACCGGGCCGACGGCTACGCACACCTGACCCACCCCGCCGTGTCCGCCGCCAAGCCCCCGACGGGCCACTCCCCGCAGAGGGCGGCCAACTCCACCCCGACGACAGGGTTTACCAAGAAGGTGGGGCGACGCTTCACCATCCTGCTGAAGAAAGGTGAGGAGATGAAATGTTAGTGCCGGGCAACGGCAGTAATCTTTTATTTATTTCTTTACATTTCTCTGTCTGGTCTTTACGAAATAAAATAAATTCAGATTTTTGCAAAAACAATTTAAAACTAGTTTTCTGCCTTTAAATGTTACCAGACCTTACCAAGGGCTTTTATTTAGAAAACTACGGTGTCGGACGACTTCCTCAGATGTTCTTACCTTTAGTTTGACTCCTTACCAAAAATAAAAAATGTTGAAATGCTTTTAGGGAACTTCAGAAGTGACTGTTCAGGGGTTAAACACCAGTCAGGTCTTTAAGTCTGGTTGGAACCCAAACAGTTCCTGGACCGAGAGAGCAGCAACAACTGAAAAACCAAGAGGAAACGTTTGTCTCAGTTTAAGGCTAAATGTTTACACTCATTTGTTTACACACCGATAACGTGTGATGTTGATTTGATTTATTTATTTATTTAACAGGAAAAGATTATTAAAAATCAAGCCTGACTCAGCATAATTGCTGTTTTTACAGCAGGTTCCTGTTCTGCAGCACATAAAAC